TGTTTTCTTTGGATGAACAGTAGAAATTTTTCAGATTCACACTATATTGGATTTACATAGTGATTTGTATCACGTTATACTATGTTTATTCTTCTGTTGACTGGCGGATTATCAATTAAAGAACTTATCAAAAAATAATAAGCAAAACTTATTAAAAGATCTATATAAATATAAAAAATCCAAGAAATAGAATATATAAAGATATATCAAAATATAAAAAACTTAAAGAAAAAAAACCTACTAACTACCAAAAAACAATATAACTCTTTCTAATGATCTTTCGGTTCAACTTTTTAAACCAAAAATTTTAACAAAAAACAGACTATATTAGAGAAAAAGAACATAAAACTGACAAAAACTATAAACTAGCGCCTATTATTTAGAGATAATTCTCATATACTATCTGCTAATAGGTTTAAAGCTTATCACTCACTATGAGGATAATACTTGTTATTTAGAAGTAGTTTTTATATACTACTTGCTAACAAGTTCAAAGTTTATCATTTACTGAAAAGAATATCAGCAATGTGCTCAGATCTACTTGTCATATTATTTTTGAAGAAATACATACTCTTCTTTAAGAAAAGTACAAAGTCTATACTCTTTACTATCACTCACTTATACTTACAACAAAATTTTTAAAAAAAGTAGACAAAACAGCTTACTCTATCAAAAAATCAGCAATGTTTACTTTTTTTAAATTCGGTCAACCCAGTAGATTACAACTATGTGTTTTGTTTAGTATCAATCATGTTGCTACTTTATATAACAAGGTCTATTGATTGTCCTCAGTTAAAAGTTTATCTGAAATTGGTTATATAGTCAAGAAGAAAGAAATATATTAAGGCAAAGTCTTATAGTAGAGATATACAGATATTGCATTTGTTATATAATTTTTTAAGCCTAGCACAGGTTATAATAGTGCACTTCTCTTTTCTTTTTTTAGTATATCAGATTACTATATCTTTTTTTTGCTTTTTTCATTTTTGTTCATTTATAATCGAATCAAATTTAGAACATATATTTTTTTTCTTGTTCTTGTTTTTTTCTTTTTTGTCTTTTTCTTTTTCTAAATCTTGTTCATTTTCTATAAAATGTAGCATATACTTTATTCCTTTATAGAAAAGTAAGAGATAAATTTTTTTGCCCAAACCTAGATAGAAAAGTTTTAAAGAAAGATAAGTAGTTTTGATGAACTAATAGGAATCATCTAGTAATATTGTATCTCTTTTAGTAAAGAAAGTGGTATTTTGAAGAAAAATTCTACTTATAGCAAGTTGCATATGGGTAATTTGAACTTTGGTCACAAAAAGCAAGATGAGCTAACACTTGTAAATTAGGTATCAGAAAGATTAGCCTTCTGTAAACTGTAGTATTTCTTAGTATAATATTATAAGGTCTAATAAAGTATAAACAAGATTGCTAAAATTATTTAAAAAAAAATAATAAAAAATAAACTACCAAAAGAACAAGAAATTTATAATCCAAACATGGATTTATAACAGTTTCAAAGCTCCAACAATAGCCTTAAAGGTAGTTTTAACAGGTTGTATATCAGAATCCCGACACACAAAATCCCGACACACAAAATCCCGGCAACAAAATCCCAATACACAAAATCCTGACAAATTAATTCCTAATTTTAATATTTTTAGGATTTTAATTTGTTAGGATTTTGTGTATCGGGATTTTGTTGCCGGGATTTTATGTGTCGGGATTTTGTGTGTCAGGATTCTAATATACAACCGTTTTAACAATAGCTACAACAACAGCTCTAATAATAATTTTGTTAAAGCTCTAGCAACAATTTCTAACAATAACTAAAAAAAATGGATTAATATTAATTAAAAAAAAACAAAAATTAAAAAAAAATCAAAAAAAAAAATTATCTATATAATTGCCAATCTAAAAAATAATTAGTTAATTATATAAAGATTATATAGCAACAGGTTGCTATTTTATTTTTGCTTTTAAATAATACAAAAAAATTATTTATCTTGTAATCTTATAATTAGATTTTAATAATTTTGAACTGGTTAGAATTCTTTTATTAAAAAGTTTATTTTAGTAGTTAAATTATTTAAATTGGTCTAATAGATCAAAAGTTATTTGAGTTTAAAAATTTTATTATTATATATATAGTCATTCCTCTCTATAGTCACTTCTTTTATAATTATATTATATAAAAACCCCTCTTTATTATATTTTATACTCAAAAACAAATTACTATTAAACATATAAAAACTACCTTTATATAAGCACAACCCCTTTATAAGCATATTTTTTAAAAAAGTTATTAAGTAAACAAAATGTATGATCATAGAAAGGGTTGACAATATAATAATATTTTTTAAAATCAGCTAATTAAAATTGTTTTATAAAAGAAGAGGTAACTTTTATAGTAAATAGTTTTTGAGTTAAATTTGTAATTGTATATAATTATAAAAAGCAGTATTAAGTAATTAAAAAACAATAAATAGACTAGAAGTAAGTTTATATAATTCTAAAATAAAATCAGAAGAAAAAAAAATCAGTAGCTTTCTTGTTAGTAAAAATTATTTTAGAATTTAGATTGTTATTAAAAAAGATTATTTTTTTTTTTGCTATTACTTGTTGTATAAAAAGATTAGCTCTATTATTTTTCTATTTCTATTTATTATATAAAAGTAATGCCAAGTTATATATTCTGTTGGCTAAAGTAGGCATTTATACAGTATACTTTGTAGTTGCAGTAGCAATTAGGGTTGGGGCACAGAGGTTGGAGGCATGCCCTATGAAGCATGCCCCTGGGGTATGCCTAGGTGCATGTCCTTTAACTAAAAGGCATGCCCCTATCATGTGATCTATAGCTAATATATAATTGGCTATTTTAGTGATTAACCAATTAGAATATAAATATATCTTATTATTATTATTTTTTTTTAAATATTAAAATAATCACTTAGGCCCCTGGCATGTAGCTTTATTCAGATAGTTACGATATTATATCAATTTCATGAGGATACAACTAGCCACATATGTACTTTTGATACCTAATTTAAGTAGTTTGTCTGGGTTTTATACTAGCAAATATATCTTATTATAGTACATATATACTTTTATTATCTATATTATTTTATTGATAGTTATTTACTGACAAGTTTATTTTACTAACAGTCTAGTTACTAAAGCTTATTTCACCAACAAGTTTTTTTTTATAACTCTAATAATATTGGCCAGAATTATATACTTTTGTCTGTAAAATAAGCTTTAGTAAAATAAACTTGTTGATAATTGTCAGTGAGTTGATTAGATCTCTTTTATATCTAGAGGGGCATGCCCAGAGCATAGAGAGGCATGCCCTTTACAAAGGCATGCCCTCTGAGGCATGCCCCAAAAATTTGCCATGCCCCTAACCCTAGTAGCAATACAAGGATCTTTTACTATATAAACTTGGAATAATATATAAGGGTCTAAGTCTATATAGTAAAGTACTATTAGGCTTCTCAGTTGTAATAGCAATGCAAGAACCTTTTAAAGTGCTATTAAGCTCCTCAGTTGTATCAATAGTAAATCCTTATTAGCTAGAAGTTTTCTCTATTGATGTATTTATTTAATGTAGCTTTAAGTATAAAATTTATTTGTTAGCTTGTGTATTTAAACTCTCAATTATTCAACTTTATAATATTGTCTTGTTACGAATCGACAACCCTATTTCATGATCAATGAACATTCAGTGAATATTCGAATACTGTACTTATTTTTCGACCGGATCAGGCTTCTAATTTTGTTATACCCTAGCACTAATGCTGGCCACGCTGTGTCGATTAGTTTAGCGCTGGACATTTGTTGCTGGGTCCTTTTGAAGCAGGATAAAAATTTTGATTCATTTTCGAAAATTTTAGACAGAAATTTCGATTTATTTCGACCATTTTTAAACAAAAATTCGAAAAACTAGGGTTGTGTGTGGCCCAATTTTGAGATTTAAATCGGTTTTGTTGTGTGTTTTTTTGGAACTGGTTTCAAACTTATTAGACGATACCCAATCAAACCGCTTTCTGGAGTTTGTGTACCTTGTCACATGACTCAGGTTTGACATCGGCAGATCGTAGCCTACATTCATTCAACAGCTTCGTTTTAAACCATTCTTCGGTGTTTCATGCTCTAAATTCCTAAGTCTTCAGACTACCAATAATTTAATATTATTAACCGCATAAACGTAATATAAAATGCTCATAAAAGTCAAGGTAACGTTTCTCCTTATTGAGATCCGCAATACGATTCCTCTGATCAATTTATAAACCTCTTTTCAATATTTTCCAGACTCTTACCGGCAAAGAAGTATGTTGCTAAAAAGTTTGCTTTATGAAAAAAATCAAATTTATTTATGATAATTGCACTCTTGTAGATTGAAATCGATATTGAACAGGATGATACGGTTGGCTTGTAGTCAATGTTATTCTTGCATTTTTACTGCGCATATTTATCGATCATATCAAATTGTTAGGTAGCAAGAGTAAAAGAACGTGTAGAAGAAAAAGAAGGTATTCCGCCTGCTCAACAACGTCTAATTCACGGTGGAAAGCAACTGTATGTATGATCTTTTTTTACTTTATTTATCTAAATCTTTTATATAGTCGGTTTAATTAAAGGTTATATAATTTATTTACACAACTAGGACTGATGAGAAGACTGTCCGAGAAGCAGGCATAAAAGCTGGTGAAGTCCTCCATCTTGTGCTGGCTCTTCGTGGGGGACATTAGGGTTGCGACCCAAACCTTTTTTATGAATTATGACATTAGTACATAGTGTGGCTTTGGGAATCGAGATTTGGGATAATAATCAACGTCCAAATATGTGTCACAATAGTATCAAGTCCAAAAACCAATAAAATTTGTTAAATCAAGCTATAAATTATTTGTTAAAACTTCGTTATTTTCCATTTTCAAATTAAGAAATTAAGTATTTGAGAGTTATTCAGTGACTAGACAGGTATGTTGAATATATTAGATCTAATAGTTAGATACATGATAAGGGAAAAAATTGTAAAGTGAAAGCTTTTCACGTTCAAATAAAACTTCGAATCAGATATTAATTTCTTTCGAAATGTAGAAATGCTTAATAGTTTTTAGAAAAGTTGAACCCCTTGATACTTTATCAATTATATGATCTTCCATCCTCTATTATTGATTAACTCATTGATAAATGAATTATTAGTGACATGATCAGAATCGTAATCCAATTTTTTGATTCATGGTCAAAAAGCCATCGCAAAATAATTGAAAAAGATAAAGTACTATTATATAACATTCTTAGTAAATTGTCACGGAAATCTATAAAGGCTAATTATTTAAAACGTTAATCAGATCGAGTTAATTTAGTGTGTATATATATTTACTTTCAGTTAAAATTTAAGCAGGGGTTATCGTTATGTGATGATGTGACGTAACGGCCGTTAGCGGGACCTATCGCTATCGCTATAACATAAACAAAAAAAAAGGGTTCCGATCTTACAATGTAATTACATAAATGCAAAAATTCCTTTTTTTTTAAATTCCAACTATTATTATGTAATATTTAAGATCCACCTTATTGAATACGGGCGACACTATAGCATTCAATCCAAGTTTTTGCTGACAAGAGTTTTCCCGTCGAAGATATCGAAAAGGATCGAGAATTAACTATCGCTATGAAAAAAACATATCGATATTGGGTATTAACTTTTTAACTGGTTATCAACTGCCTACCTGATTACGGTCTAATCACTATCGCTACTGCATAGTAAAAGACCAAGCTACCCAATCCGTAACCACTGCGGTAAGCCCAACTCTAAGAGAACAAAATTGACACATGTCTTAACAAAAAAGTCAAATTGGCCCTAAAAATTAGAGCTCTTACCCGGGTCAGGCTGATCCGTACGGGTCAGCTTCTTGACGGGTCACGGGTTAAATGGATGAATTCAAATTACGTGCAAGTTTGGGAAATTTTCCGGTTCAAGTATGTTATATATTAATATAACAGACACAACATAAAATTATAAAATTCTATAAAATTTTACTCTAAACTCTCGAGAGTAACCTACATAACTATTGACCCAAGTAGCTCTAAAATAAGAGTCGTTACATCAAAGTTCTTTTAATGATTTTCCTTATGACCCGTTAACCCGGATCATGGCCCGGGTCAATACCGGGTAATAGCTCTACTAAAAATAAATTAAATGTCAAAAAAAAAAAGTGATATTACGGTAATTACGCGTAGACATCTTGCGAAATTTAATACAATCAAGGATTCTACTTAATTCAAATAGATTGTTTTCAGCAATGACTTAATTTGCTTTATTTAATATTAATTAGAATATAGAACATATATAATTTTATCTAATGCAAGAGACCTTTTTAAACTTCTAACAATGTTTAAGAGAACAATAATTTACAGCAGTCAAGTATATACAGAGAGACCTCTCTAACGCACACTCTCTAAATATACACTCAGATCCTGGCCCAAATTTATACTTGACTCCAATTGTTAGAACGAGAAGCTTGGTCCCTATGGAATGCATTTAGAGAGGCTCCTGTAAAAAAAATGGTGCGTTAATTATCTAAACAGAAATATATATATTTTTGACCGACTTATTAGATATAAAACCTTAGTATTGACTATCGACTAAACAAAATATAATCGACTCTCCGCGCAAACACAAAGTTGTAAATTTCAATATGGATAAAGATTTACATAACAAACTACTTTCTCGTTCGTTATACTGTAGAGTGAATTGACTGTATATTTTTCATGAATTAAAGTAAAAAATCTTTTAATACTCATTTATGACTAAAATAATCATAATTGAAAATGTTGCTTCTGTGATGCTATCGTTGATTATTGGATCTTATATAGTCAATGCTATAAACAAAAAAAAAATTAGCTTATTGCTATTCTTTATATATATTTGACTTTTTATGATATTTGCTTTGGACCCATATTGTACTCAATTGGAATTTGTCCCAGATGGGAATTTTGACCAAAATTAAACACTCTGAAACTCTAAATTCGGATTCTGGTCAATTCCTATCTGGGATAGCTGCTACTGAATCAAAAAAGGTTCAATTCTGGGGTACAGCTTTATTTTAATACACAAAATAGGCTGAGGTTACCAAGTATATATATAAGTAGAATTCTATTATCAACGATAAAGCATAATCCTTTTTTTCTTGCTTTAAAAATACCTTTTGTATCTAATTTATTTATTAAAAGTGTTTATTTTTACGTTCTCATTAACAAGATGGTCAAAATGGTTAATAATAAAAGCAAAGAATGCGATATATGTGTAGAAAAAAAATCATTATCATTATTTCTTGTTGTAACATCAAAATGTAAACATTCCACTAATGTATGCAAGAATTGTGTTGAACGACACATAAACACAGTGTTATATGAAAAAGGTGATGTTGTTATTCAATGCCCTTTTGAAGGATGTAAACAAGTTATTGAACATAATGATGTTAAGAGAATAGCTAATCATGAGTTATTTGAAAGGTAATAACAATATTGATAGTTCTTTTTTTAATGTTATACATATCTAATGGTCCGAGATCTTTTGTTTTTTATTTTTTGAAAAGATTTGATATATTATCACTTCGTCAAGCATTAAGAAAGGTGCCAGATTTTAGGTGGTGTAAAAATTCTGGGTGTGGATCTGGCCAAATTCATTATCAAAGAGGTAATGTATTATTGTCACGGCTGAAGCTGGAAATTTTTAAACATTTTAATATGAAATTTTCAAAATTTTTGAGGTGCAAAATAAAAGAGTATAGGTGGATTTTAGTGGGGTTTATCGAGGTTCTAATTTCCAGCTTCAGCCGCGACAATTATTTTTCGCTATTCATACATACTGTACGTCACTTATCACAATCGTTAATGTAGATAATGCACCAATAATGACATGTAAAGCATGTGGAAAGAAATCATGCTACACACACGATGTCCCATGGCATGAAAATATGACATGCACTCAGTATGAAGAGAAGAAAAAAGAATCAGAAGCTGCAACAAAAGATTATCTTATGAAGCATACAAAGCTTTGCCCTAAATGTGGAGCCCATATCGAGAAAAATGGTGGATGTAATCATATGACTTGTAAGGCTAGAACATGTTCTTACGAATTTTGTTGGTTGTAAGTAGTAAAGGGTTAAGAGTGTTATTTCTTACTTTGATGTTATTGTTAATCTTCAAAAATATTATAGATGTTTGGCGGATTATAACGAGATACGTAAATATGGGAATGAAAAACATAAAAAGACATGCTCATTATATCGCAGGCCCCCTCGGAGCTTAACCCCGGAATTGTGGCGTGGCGTGTTTGTATTTATTGCTTTTATTGTTGTTTTTGCGTTTGCAGCTTTTCGAATAGATCAAGTATTTACACAATGGGTGGTATAAATTAAATATCAGTTATATTAGATATACAGTATACAGTCGACTCTGGATATAACGAACCTTTTTATAACGAACTCACTTTATAACGAACTTTTTTTAGCAAATTTATTAAAGAGTTCGGTATAAAAACATAGTAAATTCTCTATAAGGAACTTTTTATAAATTTTTACATATAGACTTTCAGGGTTCGTTATATGCAGAGTCGACTGTAGATTTGCTTATTACTTATTCACATAGAGAATATATTTGATACGTATAAGACGTTTATGTCATTCATTCTTTTAAATAATGTTTATTATAAATAAAAACCGCGAAAGACCCAACGATGGAAAAATTTGGTGCTGTACATAAATCTCATCTTCTGATCAAGTATGAATCCCTAATCAAACTCTATAAACTCAATCCATTGCTAAGTGACATAGTAAGGGTAGTTCGTTCTTGTTTATCATTTCACGTGACTTAACAACTCGTTTTTTAGATTGAGCCTAATTCCCAAAATTAAGAAGTTAATTCTGGCCGAAAATTACGGTTTATCGTTTCACGTGACTTAACGACTCGTTTTTTAGATTGAGCTAATTCCCAAAATTAAGAAGTTAATTCCGGCCGAAAATTACGTAAACAATTGTGTACCGCGAACTAAGATCACATCCGTAGCCAATCAAAATCGATATTCTACGTGACAATTTTGGTATAAGTAATTTCACTAATTCAATATATTTATTTTGATTGGTTAATTATAATACACATGTTGCATTACTATTCGGAATATTCCGGAACCTCACTCTAATTTTCTTTCAAAATTTGCTTTCTATTCGGAATATTTCGATATATACAGTCAAACCTCTATAATCACACACTTGGGATACAAAATAGTGTGATTGTAAAGAATTGTGACAATTATAGAGGTCAAATTCATTA